CTGGTACATACCTGCGCGCCCAGCCCCGGACACCAAGAACCACCAATGCACCAACCCCTGAGGGCATCAGGACACATCTAAAACCTGCCGGGACACCGGCCCTCGAGGCCTGTAGTTGCCCACCCCTGTCCTAGGAGGTTAAGAACCATTTCAGTTTCATATTTAAATATAGAAGCACCTACTATAAAACAAAAATGTCCTCATGACGTGACACAGATGTGGTTGATATACCTTTCTATAATTTAGTGAAGCTATTGCTATTAGGAATTTGAAGGTATTTGCTGTAAGATTTGATACCTGTAACTGTGACTGTGAAGTTCAGTGTGCAGCCATTCTCTGTCTTGTTATCAGACACTCTGACTTGATATGAGTAATATATGGACAGTATTATTTAGATAACCAATGCAATAAAAAGAAGTTGAAAGACATATTACCATTACTTTCCTTTTTTACACTTTGTAAATTCAGATTTAAATAAAATTTCCTTCTAAAACTTTGTCAGCGAACAGCAGAATCACACAGATGACAGTTAACATTCTGATTTGACAATTTAGACAGCACGGCTTCTCTCCACAGGATACACTCTATCTTTTCAAAGCACAAACACACAGAAAGTTCACTGGATGATAAAATAAATCCAAGTTATTACAATGATATATGTATTATTTCTGTAGTTACATATAATCAATAAACTTTGCTGGGATCTTGAAATATCAAAATTTAAAGCACTTCTTCATATCTGGAGTGTGGAAAGGCTAAAAATGACTAAATAAAAGTCTGCCAGCTCTGGACTTCTTAAGTTAGGTATCCACTGCTCATTCTGAAATACTTTTTTATGATAGTACTGAAGAGAGAATACTACAAAGAAATGAAATTTAAAATGGGATAAAAGTGTTTTACCCTCACTCTGTGTGAATCTCCTGCTCCTGTTTCCACACACTGATCTCTGCAGCGTGTCTGCTTTGAACTGACTCTTCTTCTCTTCCTCCTCCTCCTCCTCCTCTTTTGTTACCTCTCTTTGCACTTCAACACGTTCCCAGGAAGGTTTTTTTTGTACTCTGTTGGAGATTATTTTTTCTTGGTTTGGTACTACATGCAGAGCTAAAACTTCTTCTCACATCACATTATGTCATTGTGTGAAACTTTAATTCGAGATGTTGGAGTATCAATAACTTTATTAACGTCGCCCTATTTCCTCTTAATACCAAGCAACTAATTTTTCTTCTCTGTCAGAGACATGAGTCTGAGAACACTACGTCAAATACCATTTCTTTTTCTATTGAGGTCACATTTGTACCACATGGGCTTTCTTTTCAAAAAAAGTCTTAATTTTCATTTATTGGGATCTCATAAATGTACAATTATTTTACCTCTTCCAAAACAAAACATTCACTCATTTACCTCACATTTTCAGCCATCGTCCATACTTCACGTTGTTGTTTAATAAGCTCTGAAACCTTTGGGCATTACAATATTTAGAAGAAATAAACAATTTTTCAGTTGAATTTACAAACATACACATACACACACACACACACACAATATATATGCTAAAGTACATTAAATTCTACTTCTCCTGTCTTTATTAATTCAATTTCAACATACTGAAATCGGGTTGTTTTTTTATTGAT